CCCCACAGCCTCCATGGACCACAGGGAAATCTAATACTTACCCGGGCTTCACAAAGACCAGGGGAAGAGCAAGCAGGGCGGGGAGCATTAGGCCCCAGAAACCACTGTGTGATCTGCTAGCAGAAACAGCTCACACATGCCGAGACAGGTCACTCAGAAAGAAAGGCAGTTGTCTACACTTCTCAGTTCGTACTTGGAAAAATGACAAGTCTCAGGTCTAAAAGAAATCAGACAACAGTCAAAAGAAGCCAAATCAACTCCAGGGGAGGTTGGGCAGAGTGAAAACCTCTCAGAGCTGAGCCTGCCTCCAGGACTGGGGAATTCTCCACCCTCTGCTGTATCCACAGCAGCCCCTGCCTGGCCTGGACTCAAGCCTGAACCAGGAGAGACAAAAAGTAAAAGCAAGGCAAAGGGGCACAAACAAGGCTATGACATGTCCTTTGTGAAAAGGGGCACTGACAGTACACCTGGATTGCACCCTGGGCTTCCTCCCCTCCAGCCCCACCTCCCTGCACCCCCCAGACCACCATGGGGCCATTAGTAGCAGAAGAGACACAGCTTGAATCAGGACAAGAGGACTCTAAATCAAGTCCTCTCTGCTCTGCATGGCTACTTCCCAAAGTGCCCAGTACCAGGAAACAGACAGGGCTTGGGCTTTAGGATGAACTGGAACTGGTTCAAATCTGGCTCTACCTGTTACCAACAGTCAGTATAATGAACCTCGTGATACTCAATTTCCTCACCTGTAAACTTTGCACTACAGCATGCGTGCTGTTGTGTCTGACTCTTTGCGGCCCTAGGACTAAAGCCCGCCAGGCTCCTCTGTCCATGGGGATTCTCCAGGCAAGAATACTGGAGTGGGTTGCGTTTCCTCCTCCAGGGGATCTTCCTGATCCCAGGACTGAACTCATGTCTCTGGCATCTCCTGCATTGGCAGGCAGATTCTTTACTGCTGAGCCCCCAAACTGTGCACCAGCATCACCAATACACTGCAGGACTGTTGTGAGAACCAGAGTTAGTGCATACAAAACACCTGGAGCAAGGATGATAGGGGGGCAAGGGCAGCCATTATTTTGCTTCCAGAGGCCCAGAGAATCTGCATTCCCAGGAAGTCTTATCAGAGGAAGCTCTCCCTCCAGCCTCTCTGGGGCTGTGGTCCCCATTTTACATTAGGATGCTCTCACTAGTTAAGGGATAAAGGACCCATGCCATGCCAAGACTGTTTACATGCAAACTTACTTTGTTTGCTTTGAGACATACAATGCTTAAAAATTTAATAAATAATGCAAAATTAGGCAATTGAGATTAGAACAGAAAATCTACCTAAAGGGTAAGATGCATAAATGTTAGGGGACTAGAAGGGGAGGCCGAAAGGGAAACAGGCTGGGCTGCAGAGATCTGACTTTTCTGTCTGACGGGAGTGAGCAGCCCACAGAATCCACATGGCCAGGACACACCCAGCCAGGCATAAGTTTGCAAGGAACCTCTTTGACTTGAGAGCCCCAGAGAACAGCAAAGCCATGACTAAGAACTCAGAGCCCCTGGGCAGCCCCCTCCTCCCTGTTTCCCCAGGGCACCAGCTCTCCCTATTGAGGGAGAAGAGGAAAGCAGCCATGGTTCCAATCTGAACCACTCATCACACTTCCACCTACGCAATTTCAGAATAAACAACTTAGAGTCAACTTCCAGGAAGGCCCAGGAGAGCAACAGAAGCAGTAATGGGGAAAACCATTATTCAGACCAAGAGAAAGTATAACAAGTTTAATAACAGGTCTCTAGGTAAAGATAAGAAATTGGGGGTAGTGGCACTCCCTCGTTCCAGCCCAGGCCAGCAGAGCCTCGGAAAAAACGCCTGCATTGGTGACAGAGGGGTTCCTTAGCTGTGACTGCTGGTCCACGGCCTCTCTCCTAACAATGTGATCTGCAGTGGGGAGATGGCAACTCAGAACGTCCACTCGTAGAAGCAGAGTTCTACTTAACCTAAATACAATCCTAAGTAGAAACAGACTGTTTCCTTCTTTTTGCAAAGAGCCGCTTCCCAAGAAATGTAAAGTCGGCCATCAGGGTGGGATTTAAGACCAGTCATGTGAGCATTCCATACCCCTAAGTCCCTCTAGTTGGTAACTATCAGTCCATCCTAGGGAAGCCAGAGAGAGAATGAAATCAGAACAAAGCGCCCATGTGGGCTGGGAGGTAGGCCTATTATCAGCTCCATCTCCAGGGCATGGGGTCAGAGGAAGACAGGGGCGGGGCTGCCTAGCCAGCTCCAGCCTGCAGGAGATCTCTCCAACTGCAGAGATCACTGGCCTGCTGGTGCTGTCACATTCAGTTTGTAGGATTAAGAGGAAGGGCCTTTAATCTGGGCAAATCAGGAGGAGGCAGAAAATACAGTCAACAAAATAATGCATGCTTAGGGCTTTTAAAAGAACTTTAAAAATCTCATTATCATTGAAATCTAATTAGCATTAATAATCTAAACACTGAAACAAATGATATCTAGGATTTACTTCAAATAACGGGAAATAAAATGGTTAGGAATACAAATGAAACAAGACTGGCTACAGATTGGTAACTGCCCAAGAATGGACCATGGGTACATGGGGTTTTATTTCACTGTTTTCTCCACTCTCACATGTTTGAAGTGTTCCATTACAAAATTTAAAAATCACATGTTATTTATTGTGAAAATTTAAGTAAAATATAAAATTAAAAAACAAAGAAAAAAAATAAAAGCCACACATAATACTATCACTAGAGTCAACTGCTGTTAACACATTGGTCTACTTATTTCCAATCTTTTCTGTTACTTTTCTCTTCTGTTTGCACAATAGAGTCATACCTCTATACTGTTTTATCACTTGCTTTTCTTTCTTCTCTTAATTTATCTTAAGAATTATTCAAGTGCTCAAATATTCTTATAGGGTATGATTGTTACAGCCTTTCCTCAATAGACAGATGATTTCCAATATTCAGCTGCTATAAATAAGCCTGTGGTCAACCAGGAAAGATGACATTTGTTACAAATAGGTGATTTCAACTGAGAAAGAAACTGCTTGATAGGTACTCAAAGAGTGACACAGCACAATGGAAAAGGAATGGCAAAGAGAAAAGCTGGGGTCTCATCAAGCTGCCTAGTTCCAAGCAATTAAGTAACTTTCCAGAGACTCCCCACAGCAAAGGGCAAGGTGGGGAATTTAAAAAAAAAAAAAAAAAAACACGCCAAAATATATAAAACTGAAACACACACTAAAATGCCTCTTAGCCAACAATTCATAACCAGGCGCAGGCACTGAGTTTAAGAAATCTGTTAGCATCTCCACTGCAACACTCAAGTCTTAAAATATTGAGTTTTCAAAGGGAAGGCTATTGTCACGGGTCTGGGACGACAAGAGAAGGTACTGTGGGCAAAGAACAAATCAAACAGCTTCTCACAGACCACCAGACCTCCAAGCATTCCATCACGCCATTCTGATTGCTCTAATCAAACAGAATTAATGTAACTGGACAGTGCACAGGCCTGTCACTGGGTTCTTCCCCCTAAGCCTTAAAGATGACTTTCGCCTCAAAAAGAAAACCCACAATATCCTCAGGATGGTGCGATGAGAGGGATCCTGTGTTTTCCCTGCACGATTTTTTTCTGCCAAGCAGTGGATTTGGCAGAACATCTCTAAAGATGGCACCCTATACAGTCCGTATTTGAATGAGAGTCAAAAACATAATTTTTCTTCTTGAGGCAAATCCATGAATTACTTTGTGACTTACTTGAAAGATTCAGAGCTGAATCTAGCTGGGTCCCATCTGCCTTTCTTGGGCTGCTATGAAGCATCTGAATCAAACCATTCACCTCTGGCCAGCAGCTGGGCAGGGGCCACTCTGCAGCCGTCTTAGGCAGAGGCCACTGTGAGACTTTCCTCTCCAGGGCGGCCCCAAGGACCAGTGGGGCCCCAGAATGCCAGTGGGGCTGAGAAGAGGACTGAGAAGGCTGTGCTGCTTTCTTCACATTTTCCTTTCCCCTTATCTCCCTCTGTCTACCATTTGGGGTTTTATTAATATTTCAGGAAGGACAATCATGGCTCTCTTATCGTTTCGTAAAGAACTGAGAGGAGAAGCAAGTCTGTGAAGCACTAGACACAGGCTCTCTGAGGTCAGATATGCGGCCTCCCCAAACTGAATTCTAACCTCCCTACCCAGCCCTCCTCCCCCAGACATGGGTGTCCCAACCACCACCCTGCTGCTGAGCCCACTGAAACATTCAAGAAAGTTCTACCAATTATGCATAGTGTATGATGACCACTCTGGAAAAAATTCTGAAGTATGTGTTGGGATAGCAAAATTCAAGAGTGACATTTATTTTTATCTTTTGTTGATGTTATTGGGTTGTTTTGACAGTAGAAAATTATTTTAAGAATAAATTATTACCAACATTCCATTTATATATTTTGCTGAGATTGGAACCTCTCAAAGCCTGAGTTCATGTCTGACCTAAGCCTATGTCCTCCCTCTGGATTCATATATTATAGAGAAACAGGAGAAAGACTAACAAACAGAAACAAAACCAAAAATGACAAGCCATTTCTTTTTTCACTGGATTTCCCCAAGAGAGCAATCTTTAGTATTTACAAAAATTGGGTCATAAAGCTTTACAAGGTTCTATGCATATGGCTTGACTCCACCCCTTCCCTCCTCCCCCCACCCCCCCAAAAAGAGAGGAAAGAGTCAAATGCAGAAACACAGAACAGCTGTCTGCTGGCAAAGACGGCTTCCCACTGCACACAGCCACACCCTGACAGAGACACACACCAGCCCCCAGGCATCCCTGCACGCCAGCCGGTTTGACGGCTGTGGATGTCCCCAGCGGGCCCACTGAGCTCACCCTCTGATGCAAAGTGGATGGGAGCCCATGAGCTGGGGTGGCTCAAAATACACAGGCAGTGCCAACGCCCACACTGGTGCCTCTCCATTGACCTCCCGTGCGGGGACGGGACCGAAGGGAAAGTTACCTTGCAGACAGCTGCCTGCAGCACCGCGTCAAAGCCGCCCTCCGGGGCATCGCGGTTCCGGGACACCCTCTGCTTTCGGACTTCCTCGTTGAAGCTATCCACTCTGTCCGTGAGAGGCAGCAGGTGGCGGAACCCAAAGGAGGGGACACAGTTTGGGAACAGCTTGTAACTAGAGAGAAAAAGGACAAGAGTCACGTTTCCTTCATTATCTTAAAAGCTTAAACAACGTACTCTGTGCCTTGACTGAGGGCCCTGAGTGGCACCAACAAATACTCGCTCAGCCACCTACCATGCGTCCCTGGGATAGGCACGCTGGGGACAGCAGAGCAGTAACAGTTCCTACCTCCCAAACACAAGTCCTAAACGGCAGGAAAGATAGCACACAAACAGGTCAAAAGAAGCAGAGGTAACAATGGGCTTCTGCAGTCTGAGAAAGGCGCCACAGAGGAGCCCTGACATGTGCCTTGAAGAGGCAAGGGCCTGGAGCACGGGCCTCATAGCCTCAGCAGTGCCTGAGGAAGGCAGGGGGTGCTCTTTGGGGCTGACGAAGGCGAGCAGTGTCAAGGGATGGCAGAGTGACTTAACAAAACCAGCTTCTCACATCCACTTTGCTGCTGTCGCATGATAAAAGATCACATAAATCTCTCCTGTCAACCCACTCAGAGACAACCAGGACACACTGGCACATGAGCAAACACGAAATGCATTAGGAATGAAAACCTTCCTGCTTCCTCATTTATTTATAAATATTGGAATGATAAACTATCAGCTCTCCCAGATGCATGCAAAGAGAAATCATTTAGAAGCAAATCATCTTCAAATGGAATATTCTATCTGGAAATTTGGAAAGAGGGAAGTATCACATCTCAATAGAAGGTTAATGCCATATCTCTCTCCTGAGTATTCATTGGAAGGACTGATGCTGAAGCTCCACTACTTTAGCCACCTGATGGGAAGAGCCGTCTTGTGAGAAAGGACCCTGATGCTGGGAAAGATAGAGAGCAGAAGGAGAAAGGGGCAATAGAGGATGAGATGGCTGGATGGCATCACTGACCCAATGGACATGAGTTTGAGCCAATTCCAGGAGATGGTGAAGGACAGGGAAGCCTGGCGTCCTGCAGTCCACGGGATTGCAGAGTCAGACACGACTTAGTGACTGAACAGTAACAAAAAACAACTCTCCTGACTGTTGGGTGTTCTCATCTTCAGTCCACAGTAGAGATCCCAAGTGGCCCCATTCCTGGAGGAAGTTAGATCCCAACCATAGCTGCAGGAGTGTAAGTTGGGCATACAGCCAACAGAATAGGGTGAGAGGCCTGACACTGCTTCCAGGAAGGTTCACTAGGTACAGGGGGAGAGGGAAGAGTGAACACAAGGCCCTGCGGCAGAAGTGAGCCCAAGGGCGGAGGGCAGCCAGCAAGACCGTAGGGCTGGGAGTCAGAGCAAAGATGGGCAGTGAGGCAGCTGGGGGGCCAGCTGGATAGACTGAAGGTCTGTGGCCATGCTAAGGAAGGCTCTCTTTCAGAACAAAGATGAAAACCAAACTTAACAGACAGGCACAAGGGGATGGCTTCATAACCCAATCCAAGCCATGTGCATGGGAAGGGAAGCAGGCTTAGGACCTAGTAGCTCCTGCCTAACTGCACATGGAAGGGCAGCCAGGGCAGATCTGAGAGGCCCCCGTCTTCCACAAGAGGCAACCCTGGGCTTTCTAAGAGGCTACGCCACTCCTCTCAGGTCCTTCAGTACCTGCTCCATCAGTCACCAGCTGCAAGCCAGCTGTGGATGGTCAACCCCACTACCGTAATGGCTGTGGTGCCTCCCGGATGAGGAGAACCATCAGAGGCTGTCCCTGTCTGCCTTGCCTTTGTTTCACTCCTTCTTCCTTCCACTTAAATCTTTCCCCACCCCTTGTGCTTGCACAGATCAAGCTTGTCTATAACCCATGACTCCAGGCTGTCCAAACTTTCTATTCCCATTCTCAGCTGGCCATAAAGAGAAAGGTCACGGAAATTGTATTCCCAGCTGGAAACAGGAAGTGAGTCCCATATGGTGCTCTGACAAATAGAGGGACCCAGGAGGAAAAAAATGTACACAGACTCTTCCTCACCCTTGAAGCAACTTCACCCTGTGCTGTGCTAGCCCATGGTTGCAGACTACAGGTATTTACTGCTTTGGCTGATGGGGTTGGTTGAGGAAGGGAGAACAGAACCGCAACTGCTGTTCAATGAGAAAACCAGAAAAGCTCAGCTAAATCAGCAACTTTTACCTTTTCCTTCCCTTCCTGCAAAGGACAGTTAAATAGATACATTTTTACTGTGGAGAATTAATAATCAGGAACTAGAGAATGCATTTACCAGAGAGAAGCCTTCATTGCAGAGAACTTTACTACAACCAAACCAGAGGCACCTCTTAGAGAGGAAAACAGCATTGTCACACAGGCTCTGTTGAATGTCTCTGCAGTCACTGGAAAATAATGTCACCTGTGACTAGTTATTTTCCCCCTGGGAGAGCTGACTGAGTGACCTGAAGATCTGGGTGTTTGATGGTCTTGTGTCAGGAAGCCCCCCCACCCCCCAACCTGTGTCTGTGCTGTAGGACCCCAGTTTAGGGCCTACTAAATCTTTACTAAATTAAGGATTATGAACCAGGAAGTGAATAAAATATATATGCTTAAAGAGCCTGGGGGCGCATGTGTGTATAAAAAGTGAATCCCCTTTGAAGACACTGCTGCTGCTGCTGCTAAGTCGGCTTCAATCGTGTCCGACTCTGTACAACCCCATAGACGGCAGCCCACCAAGCTCCCCCGTCCCAGATACTAGATCTAGGCAAATTCAGAAAACAGCCTAATGCTTCAGAACAATAATACTGTGGACCATGGAGCTGACAGAGAAAGACCTTCTCTCTTCTTCTAAACAAAGAGAACTGCTGTGTAAAAATCTAATCTTGAAAAATGTTAATATGTAGCCAAGACTGAAAGCTTCCCATGGAAATCCCAGGTGCCAGGAACAGAGAAGAAAGCACTGCACAAATGAATGGACTTAAGAGTAGGTGGGAAGTAGTGAGCAGGGATCTCAAGGCAAAGGGGCCCTCTGCCGCCCCCCACCCCCACCACGGCAAGTTGTCAGACAGGCTGGGACCTGGGCCCCTTCGTTGCAGTGCTGCAATGCTTGCACCTGGACACAGCTCTCCTCAAGCAACAAAATACAAAGAAACTGTGCAAGACTGAGTGCATGTGCAGCTGGGGCAGATTCTGGACAAAAGATACGAAGAGACCAAAAAACCCATCTGCCACTTTTAAAGAGCCTGGAGTAAAAAAGCAGTGTCAGGAGCAAAAGCAGGGTACTGCACATGCCCCCTTGCACGCAATACCATTGAAGGGGTGGGCAGACCACCTAAGCCCCACCTCCAGCCCCGACCCCTAGATACTCCCCTACCCTCACCCCATACAAGGAACAAGCTCACCACCACCCCTTCGGAGTGGGGGGTGGGGGGTGGGGATGGAACGGGCAGCAAGCAAGCAAGAGAACCTGTTGATTGTTCTTACTCGCCCCTGCTACAGCAGAGACCTCAATAAAGCCTTGCCTGAATTTCTCGTCTGGCCTCTGATTAATTTCTATTGCTTAAAGGGACCTGACACAGAAGCTGGGGCTTGGGGCCAGGTTCTACCAGGGATGATGGACTTCAGCCACGCAGGGTCAAGAACTGGAACAGGGTTCTCTGCATAAAGTTGTGGGCCACGAAGAGATGCCCTTGTCACTAAAATCAAAACCAGAAAAATTCCAGCCCCTGGCTTGGGAGAGAAGGAAGGAAGATGCACTCCAGGCCCAGGGCGAGATGAATTACCCACAAAGATTGTAACTCCAGTCCTGAAAAAGTCAGAATTCATTACTTTTACAAGGAAGGAACCCCCTGCTGAGAAACAAAACAGGAGAACTAGTCCCACAGTGAGACTTGGAGGCAGGGAACAAAAAACCACCCTGCAGGGAAGTCAGCATACCTGGGACACATGATCCCCTGATGGAAAACCACCTCTTCTGAAGAGGAGCTAATGAAAACGGTTACAGATCCTATGAGAAATAAACCACCATGAAGGAATGTCAGCAAATAGAACCAACTGAAGGATCTCCAAGAAACAGATAGCAAAATGATCCAAAGCACTTTAAAACAAACATATTTAAAACATTGAGAAGAAGGAATAAATACAAAAGACCAGAATCGGATATTATTAGGGGGGAAAAAATCAGAAGGTTATGAAAAAACAGTATAAAAAGACAGAAGTCTGAAAAAAAGAATCAAAAAATACTGTCACTCAAATTCAAAAATGAAACTTTAGTGAATGGATATAAAAACTAAAGAGCAAGGCACTGGCACAAAAACAGAAATATAAATCAATGGAAAAACATAAAAAGCCCAGAAATAAGCCCATGCACCTAAGGTCAATTAATCTACAATAAAAGAGGCAAGACTATACATGAAGAAAAGACACTCTCTTCAATAAACGGTGCTGGGAAAACCAGATGGCAACATGTGAAAAAATGAAATTAGAACATTCTTTAACTCCACACACAAAAATAAGCTCAAAATGGATTAAAGGTCTAAATATAAGACCAGACACCATAAAATTCTTAGAGGAAAACACAGGCAGAACACTCTTTGACATAAACTGCAGCAATATCTTTTTCGAGCTGTCTCCCAGATTAATGGAAATAAAAACAAAAATAAACAAATGGGACCCAATTAAACTCAAAAGCTTTTTTTGCACAGCAAAGGAAACCATAAATAAAATGAAAAGTCAACCCACAGATTGGGAGAAAATATTTGCAAATGATGTGACCGATAAGGGATTAGTCTCAAAATTTATAAACAGCTCATGTGGCTCAATATAAGACAACAAACAGTTCAATCAAAAAATGAGAAGACAAAAAAAAAAAAAAAATGAGAAGACCTTGGGGGCTTTCCTGGTGGCTTGGTGGTAAAGAATCTGCCTGCCAATGCAGGAGACTCGAGTTTGATCCCTGGTCTGGGAAGATCCCACAGGCCTTGGAGAAACTAAGCCTCTATGCCACAACTACTAAGCCGGTGCTCTAGAGCCTGGGAGCCAAAACTACCAAGCCCAAGTGCTGCAACTGCTGAAGCCCGCATTCCACAACAAAAGAAGCCTGCACA